GAACTATGTGTACGGGATCAAATTGACAACAGCAATGGGGAAGTTTAGATAAGAACCCTAGGGGCCAGTGAGCTTATGTTAAGGGAGGAACAGCTCAGAAAAAGAGGGTAAGCATCAAGAATAATGGATGTACAACTTGAAGAATAAAATCATTGTCACTGAATTGTCCATGTGGAAACTGTTGACGTGGTGTATGTTTGGCTGCATATATTCTCAACAGCAACAAAATAAGATTTCAGGGGAAGGGAAAAAAGCCAGCCATAGGAAATTTTTCCATTTCCCTGTAGGACACCTCATAAAATGTTGCTGACTCACTTTTTTTTTTTTTGGAAGGTGGGGCAAAGGCCACTTGTTCCTTAGCTTTATCGTTTTCAAGAATAATTTTTTATTCTTTATTCACATTTTTTATTCGGCATCATTGTTAACCCAGTGGAGGTGATTGGAATGGTATTTATTTTGGATGAGGGATATTTCTGAGAAAAACTTGCCATTTGCCTGAAGCAGGTTTATATTCTTCCAAAAGGTCATTTCAATGTGTTTATTTTGTTTACCTGTGGAGGTAGGTAAACAAAGTTTACCTCCATTTGACACAAATTTCTACGTATGATATTGATGCATGTTATGTTAATTTATTGATCACCTGACTAAAGAACAAAATAAAAGAACAAATTATCTCTAATACCGAAAGAATTTACCCAATTCAGAGAATCACGGGAGGAGGTAACCGATTGGTAGGTTTTTAAGTAAGCACTTGAATCTCTGTCTCTCTCTATAGAAGTTGGAGAGAGGATTCTCTGAGAAGTGTAGAATGCGTCGGCCGAGTATGTGCCGTAAGTAGCCTTGGAAGGAGAATCTGGATTTCAAGCTGACTAACTTGACCCAGGAGCCCTGGTGACCTAATGTTTACTTGGGCAGCTAGGTCGGCAGTTTGAAACCATGCTCCTCCATGAGAGACAGATGAGGCTTCCCACACCCATAAAGAGTTAGAGTCTCAGGAATCCACAGGGACAGCTCTACTTTGTCTTGTAGGGTTACTATGAGTTGGAATTGACTCAGTGGCAGAGAATTTGGTTTGTTGATTTAAACTTTTGACCTAGGCAAGGAATTTCACGGCATGGCCTCAGTTTCCATGCCCTAGAATGATACTTATATTTAGATGCTTCCTGCATTCTCTCCTTTTGTCAAACTCCATTGTTTGGTCTTCCAATGCCTGGAATACAGATGACTGTGATGTTAAAGAAACTCTGTATCTGCCATTGCCTACATTGATTCAAGCTATAGTTGTAAACACATCATAACAACTGAATTCCCCAGTTTGGGGGGAGAAAATTCTCCAAGTGGGGAGGCCCCCCAAGCATGATATGCTCACCATTTAGTGCATTCCCAGAGCAGACAGGATGAGTGGGCTCCAAACCCCGCAACCCCTTGTGTCTGAGAGTGGATTTGTGCTTCAGAGGCCACCGGACCGACGTTCAGGAGTCCGTCACCAGGGCCTTTTTGGTGAGGTGCCTCTGGGTAGACCTGACCCGCCTGTCTTGGGGTTGTCGCTGAACATACGAGCCATGTGCACCACTCAGGTGCTCGCACAGCGCCAACATGTGGAAACAAAGCATTCCCTGAAGGAGTTGATGGCTGAGCTGGAAACACCTTGAAAATAAGCACAAAGTAAAAATGCAACACGTATATTATAAAATATAATAGCATATTTATTAAGCACTTCTTACTATTATTATTCAGCACCTCTTCTTTACACCCTTCCTCATTTACAAGTGTCAGTATTAAGTCAGCATTATACGCATTTACCCCTCACCCCAACCCTGTAAGGTAGATAGTACTGCCACTCCCACTTTGCAGAAAAACTGAGGGGTCAAATTAATTATCCAGGTGGATCCTCAGCCATTGCGCTCAGTACTGTTCCACCAAGGTTTGAGAACGGGGATTAAAAAAACATCAGTGATCTTTAACTCGGGTAGCATGCAACTCAAGGATTTAATGATACTCTAGTGGGCTGTGCAGTCGTCACCTGCATCGAGTTAGAGCCTTTTCCTCATCCTTGTACTCATTGCTAATAGCTCCCCATTACTTCCCAACCTCCCTTGCTTTAACCATAAGAAACCATTAACCTAGTTCCTGTCCCTAGAGAGAACCACTAGTTGCTCCATGGGAGAAAGATGAGGCTTTCTGCTCCGCATAGAGTTACAGCCTCGGAAACCCACCGGGAGTTCTGCCCGTCCTGTAGGGCCACTATGAGTTGGAATCGACTCGATGGCAGTGGTTTAGTTCGGTCTCTAGAGAGGATATTTGACTTAGCAGAGAGCACCCAGAGGCCCCTCTGAGATCCGCACACCTAAGTCTGAGAAAAAGGAAGGGAAGGTTCTTGAGGGGAGAGACTTGTGTTTTGACCTTCTAAGCAAACTTGATTTTGATTAAAAGGTGAAAACACACAAAATGTATAAAAATATTTGGCAGTTAAAATAATGGCATTTTAAAAATGATACGACTGAGTAGAGAAAACAGTCCAAAAAAAGTACAATTGGGTCAGGTATTGAGAACTGCTCAGCCTGCTGGCTGGACTTGCCTAGGGCCATTTGCAGGCGGTAACTAACTGGATGACATCTTTCCCTCTGCTGGATTCTGGTGACTCACTTCTGTCCTTCCAGCTTGACTAGCAGGGAGAGGTGAGCCAAATTGTGGCTTCAGTGAGCGCATACACGGCCCTCTTGCCTGGGGGGCCTCTGGTACACACAGTGCTCCCAAAGCTCCGTGCATCCCTGCTCCGGTGCAGCTCCGAGGAATGTCGGCATGAGTTCCTGAGGTCCCAATGATCCCGAGGGCAGCAGCCTCGCCTCCGTTCAGCCAGGCACTCGCAGGCATAGCTATGATAGAAAACTTGGCCAAAAGCAGAAGAAAAGGCCGGATCGCCTTGGGTCCTCCGCCGCCCCGGGGAGTTCGCTGCAGCTTGTGTAAGCGAAGCCCCGTTTCTCCTCCCACCCTGCCGCTCCCGCCGCCCAGAGGAAGAGGGAGCTGCCCAGCGCTGCGGGCTGCCACTGGCCGCCGCCGCAGCCTGCTACCCTCGGCCGGTGAGTTCCCAGGGCCACTCCACTGCCAGAGCAGCTCGCTTGCCAGCCGGCCTTGATTGAGAGAAGTCCGGGTTGTCAGGGCAACTGGCAGTGCAGGCGGCGCCTCATATTTGCCCCTCGTGTGTTGTGTGCGGACTGTGGACTGTTGGTTTGCAGGAAGAGGACTGGGCAAGGTGCTCGTGCGGAAGGAGAAGCTAGGAAATGACTGAGCAGGTTAGGCAGTGGAGGGAGGCACCCGCAGGCCTTTAATCAGGGTTTTTCTGGAACGTGTGTGAGAGAGAGAGAGAGAGAGAACCTGCGAGTGTGTCTGTGGGGAGTAAGTGGGAGGGGGCTTGTTGGGGGGTGGGTTAGAGGGTTGCTGCTAGGTGAGGGGAGCAGCTCACAGGGCCTCAGTTGCCATGTGGCTGGTACTATCTGTCAGCTGTTTGCACACTCTTTACCCATAGGAGATCTATTACAAGGGCTCAAATGAACTGGCAGCTTAAGAACTAGCAGCTTCTCGGCAGCTGCAATTATATAAGCATTTATTTTTAATATAATAATAAATGAATAAGAAAAGTAGCGGCAGTATGCCGGGATCAGCCACAGCTATCCGACAAGAGAGGCTGAAGAAGACTAATGCAAGGCCAACCCCCCCTGGTCTGTTCACCATTAATGAGGAAGATGAACAGCAAAAGAATGGGAATTCCAGAAGACCGAAAGGTATGCATTAGCTCTGTCGGGTGGTTGGGACGGCAGCCACTTACTGCACATGGGACAGGCTGTCCCTGCAGGGCGTGCTGTGAGTGGGGAGAGCAGTTTGCTGGGGTGTTT